ATCTCACGCGCTATCGCTCTGGATCAAGCCTGAATAGACTCTACAATTACAACCTGACTATCTTAGATAAGAATTTTTTAATATTTCCTTGGACTATTTGTTATTTTAGTTTTTTCAGGCGCAGCCCTTACCTTCTCTTTTTTCTTTCCAGTTCTCTCCCTAAGGGTTCTTTGAGGGATTCCCTTATAGGGTTGCTGCCCACATATTAGTTAGCGCTTACTCATTGTTTTATTCTGTTTTTATGCTGCTGTCAGTATCAGTGAGTGTGCCGGGCGGCCGCCTAAGCAATCCGGCGGCACACTCACTGATACTTACAGCAGCATAGCTGTCAGCACAGGAGGACTGAGGGAGGGGGCGGAGCTAACTACCATGCTCCCTCGCGGTTCCCAGAATTCCCAGCATCCCAGCAGAATTATGGCAACCACGAGGGAGCATGGTAGTTAGCTCTGCCCCCTCCCTCAGTCCTCCTGTAGGTCAGAAGGGACACAGAAAAAGAGGGGTAGGGGAGGGACAAAAAGAGGGGAAGGGGGGACAAATAGAGGGGAAAGGAGGACAAATAGAGGGGTAATAGAAACACAGGGGAAGGGGAGACACAGAGACTGAGGGGTAATAGAGAGACACCAAGTCGGGGGACGACGACAAAGAGACAGAGGGGTAATAGAGAGACATAGGGCAAGGGGACACACATAGAAATATGGGGTAGTAGAGAGACAGGGGATGGGGGGACAAAGAGAGGGATAATAGAGAGACACTAGGGAAGGGGGGGGCACAGAGACAGATGGGGTAATAGAGAGACACCAGGGAAGGGGGGACAATGAGACAGAGGGGTAATAGAGAGACACCAGGGAAGGGGGGTACAAATAGACAGATGGTGTAATAGAGATACACCAGGGAAGGGGGGACAAAGAGACAGAGGGGTAATAGAGAGACACCAGGTTGGGGGGGACAAAGAGACAGAGGGGTAATAGAGAGACATGGGGCAAGGGGGGACACATAGACAGATGGGGTAATAGAGAGACAGGGGATGGGAGTAATAGAGAGACACAGGAGAAGGGGGAACACAGAGACAGATGGGGTAATAGAGAGACACCAGAGAAGGGGGGACACAGAGACAGATGGGGTAATAGAGAGACACCAGAGAAGGGGGGACACAGAGACAGATGGGGTAATAGAGAGACACCAGGGAAGGGGGGACAAAGAGACAGAGGGGTAATAGAGAGACACCAGGGAAGAGGGGTACAAAGAGACAGAGGGGTAAGAGAGAGACACAGGGAGGAGATGGGGAAGAGAGACACACAGAAGGTTTGTTGGGGGGACAAAGAGACATACAGTAGGGAAGGGGAACAAAGTGACACAAGATTTGTGGGAGGCAACGCTGGGCTGGGGAAAAAGAGACAGAGAGTGGCTGGGAGAAGAGATAGAGGCACACAGAGTCTGGAGTTAAAAAGAGACAGATAAGATTTGGAAGGGGAGAAAGACAAAGTGGCTGGGGCTAAAAACAACACAAAAGGGGCTGGGGGGAAGAGAAATACAGAGGCTGGAGAAAGGTAAAAAGAAACACACACAGGGACTGGGATGAAGTAAAAGATGCACAAGGGTCGCTGTAAGAGAAAAAAAGGAGACAATTGGAGACAAGATACACTAAACGAGGTAAAGGTAATAGATGTATTTTGATGTGATCCTGACAGTAATACACACACATATATATATATATGCATGGATATTGATGTGTGTATTAGTAACATATAATTATGCCTATAGTATTTACACATATAGTAATATACATTTATATATGCATAATACACACATAAATGTCATTAATATATATATATATAATGGGCACGTATTGGCCCAGTCTTGTTGCTAGTTGCATACTCATGCACAATAACATATTCAAAGTGAAGAGCGCACCCATAGAACTTCAAAATTAACCAGATCACTTCATTTTTTTAGTTGTGCAACCGCATACATTCACCATTTCAGTCCCATTACTAAAATGTCCTTAATAGGCCAAAGTAGTTGTACTGAAACATTGATTACATGGAAATGTACGTCTACTTAAAATAAAGGCGCTATTTTGTTTATTTTGAAGCCCTATATGCGTTCCTTCGTTGGAGTAAGAGTTTTAAATTTCAAGTTATTTTTTCACCCGCTATATCAGCACACTATGCTGGCGCGATGCATTATTGGGCTGGTATAGAATTATTTTTCCAGGGCTGCTTTTAGTTCCAAGTCCGGCCCTGATGGGAAAGCATTGTGATTGGTGCGGATCAACACTTCTGATGATGTAATTTACTTCTGATGATGTAGATTAAAAAACAATTTCCAACTGGAGTCACAGATTTAAAACCACACTGACAATTGTATCCTACGTTTTGCAAGTCTATTGTTCAAACAACACAACTCACTGGTTAGAAAATAGACCCCAAAATTATAGTGATGATTTTTCATATCCTTTATCAAGCTATTTAAAATAAAACAATGAAAGGTGGTTAAGTAATGTTTATGTATTTACCAGCTTTTGGGTTAAAATGTCATGTTTTTATCTTTAACGTTTCCTTTCCTTATCCTCCTTGTATTTTAATGATTACACTCTGCACTTTATTTATATCTATGTTTTCTTTCTTACATTGGATCTTGATGGCTGGGTGCCACCATTTTGTTTTCCTCTGTCCATTGTGTCCACAGTTTGCCCTATTCTTTTGACTGATGTATTGTGGGTATGTTAGCTTAGCATCTGAAATGGAACCTCATCTGAATTAGGGATGTGCATGGGCAAAATGTTTGGTTCGGTTCAGTTCGAAAATTTGGGAAAGTAAAAAACTTTGTCTGCTTCGGCAATTTGGACCAATGGTATTCGGTTCGGCACTTTGGAATTGCCCAATGGCATTCGGTTCAGACATTCGGCATTTAGGCACGTGGCATTTGGGCATTCATTTCGGGAATTCAGCAGTTCATCATGTCATTCGTTTCAGACATTCGGCAGTTCGGAATGTCGTTTGTTTTGAAAAATAAACATCTGTGTGGTTTTTTTTTAAACAGCAATGTTTTACATTGCATAGTGGACCACAGCAGCACCCACACCATTTATTCTTAAAGAAGTGGTTTGGGTTTAGTTAATAATTAGTAGTGTTAGTTAAGTATATATACAATTTACAAAATAATATTTTCACTGCACAGTTAGTGCAGCCAATCAAGGAGCACTACCAGCATGCACATGAATGCAAGCCAACACCCTGACTGATTTATATACTATCCCACCTCAATGACTCTGTGTGCCTTCATTGGCCAAGTGTCATTGACAAAATCACCATCAATTGGCTGTCCTCTAACATCAGTCACAAAAACGTGCTCCTTTCATTGGACAGGGAATAGTGAAACCGGATTGGGCAAGCAAGCATTGCAATGCACAAAAGGAATTAGCTTATTGGTCAAGATTCATGTCATCATTCACATAATTTTCCCTCCCTCTCTCTTGTTTTGCCACTTTTCAGAAATCCGAATCACTTCGAGTTTTGGAATTTCAGCGCTTCGGAACCTTGGCACTTCGGACATTTGTAAGTATCCGAATGTCCGTATGGCATGAGATTCGTACGAATGTACATTCGGAACGAAACTAATTGCACATATCTAATCTGAATTATACTCCCCATGACAAAAGCCTCTTCCTACTTTATTTTATGTATAACTAATAGCCTAAGGGGATTTAAAAATAAAAAATAAAAGCAAGACAAAATAGAGAAACTAAAAATGGTTAATTTAAAATAATGGTAATTAATTAGCTGTAGTTTCTTTGTGTTTAATTTTGTATATATTTTTTAAAACAATATTTTGCAATATTGTATATATTAACTGTGCAACTTCTGTCTCATCTTCCTCATTCAAAAATATTGCTGTACTGTCTTGCTGTTTCCCTCTTTTCCTGCAATATCCAATAATATAGTTGGACATGACATTGGGAAGCACAGCAAAGATTTCTGGGTGTAATAGTTCTGCTAACAGCTTTCATTTATAGAAAGCTGATACACTTAACTACAAGTTCCAGACACCTCTGCTCTGAGCATAGCTGAGGCTGTGCACAAAGGTCTGATTTATAAAGTCAGTTGTACCATGTACACCTTAACCCTTGCAGTGCTAGTTAAACATACCCTGCAGTTTAGACTTCGTAGTGATGAGAGGCTGCCAATAGACCAAAATATTTCTCAAACAGAGCAATGCTCAAGACTGATGTTGCTTGTGGATTCGTCTGGGGTTGTTGCACCTCTCGTGCAGAGGGTGTTTGTGGCATTTCAGATCTGGACGGTCCTTGTGGGTGGGATCAGGTGGGATCAGTCAGATAGGCGACTGGCTAAGGTCCTCTCTGTAATGGCACATGTGAGCTAAAGCCTGCACAGGAGCTGAGTGGGGACTAGTGAAGGACAAGTTATTTGGGCTGTTGTCCAAACTCAGCGTCCTCATAAACTCTTATTTTTGATTGCTTTTGTATATTGTAAGGCAATAGCTATAAAATGCATTAAATCAAAGAATGAGTTGACTCCAGGATAGAGTAGCCCTTTAGCGTCATATATTATTTATATATATATATATATAATGTGAAAATGTCAACATTGAAAGCTAACTATATTTGCTGATCTATATATATATTTATATGTTTCCTTCACATATTGTACAGTACCACAGTGTATGTTGGTTACTTAGAAATATTGATAATACCCTACATGCTACTTAGATCTAGGAGTTGGTTCAGTGTTAACAGTCAGCAAAACAAACAAACAAACAAAAAAAAACCCAGAAACTGTGTTCTTCAACATAACTTTCTAGCCCACTGTATATAACACAACAGACAATGTTAGCCATTCCAGTGTTTATCATTAAAGGGACACTATAGTCACCAGAACAACTACAGCTTATTGAATTTGTTCTGGTGAGTAGAATCATTACCTTCAGGCTTTTTGCTGTAAACACTGTCTTTTTCAGAGAAAATGCAGTGTTTACATTACAGCCTAGTGATAACTTCACTGGCCACTCCTCAGATGGCTGTTAGAGATCCTTCCTGGGTCATGGCTGCCTAAAATGCATCCAAACATTCAGTATCTCCTCCCTCTGCATGCAGACACTGAACTTTCTTTGTCAACAAAGCTTTTATTGAGCATAGTAGATAGTAATACGTAACAGATAATGTCATATTTTTTAAAAAAGGACACGCAGGTCCCGTGTAACTGGTTAAATCAAACATGCATTATAAATTAGCTATTTTCTAGAGTGATAAAGAAGTGTTATCAGCCTTTTACTTGTTGGTGGGTTCGTCTAGTTGGCGGTCGTCTTGTGCCCGTTCCAGTTTTGGGCTGTTAAAGTAGGCATTAGTTGATGTATTGTGTGTCGTCGGGTGTATTGTGGGAGTCGTAGCTAATGTGGTAGACTATAGGTGTTTTGTAGTATGAGGCCAATATGGCGGGTGAACGGATTGGTATGGGTGTTGGAAGGGAGAGGGGAAGGGGGAGGGGGAATCAGCCTCGGACCATCCTCCAGGTGATTGCTCATTTAGACTCCTCTTGCAGTGGTGCGATCGATGCAGGTGGATAAGAGCCCACCTGCCAGGTAGGTATTCCCGCTCTCCACTCATGTCTGCGCATCGCCCCCCGCCCCCGCCTTTCGCCCCGCCACATAAGACAGCCACAGCTGCCACCTGTCCACGTGTTTCTCCTCAGTGCCTAATAGGGATGCCTGTACCAGTTCTGCAGTGTATATTTCGTCTACCTTGTCCATCCATTGTGCCATTGTGGGGATTGTGCTCAATTTCCAATGTTGTGGGATTAGGGCTTTGGCAGCATTTAGGAAGCGTCTAAGAATGGATATTCGGTATGTTCCGAAGGGGAGTGATGTGGAGTGTAGCAAGGCCAATTCTCTATAGAATTCACCCATATCTCCCAGTATCTCTCTGGTTATTTGTTGAATCGCATCCCAGAATGGTATGATCTGGGGGCAGTCCCACCATATGTGCGTTAGTGTTCCTGGACCCGTGCCATACCTCCAGCATGTGTTGGGTGTTGCCGGGAAGATTCTGTGCAAGCTATCCGGTGTTTTGTACCACATTGCTAGCAGTTTGTAATTAGTCTCCTGATATTTGGAGCTTGACAAGCATTTGTGGTGTAGGATAAGTATTTTTTCCCATTGGGTGTCAGTAAAGGTGTTGGCGAGCATTTGTTCCTATCTTCGTCTATATGTGTTTTTGGTATCAAGATGTCCGACTAGGAGATGCTGGTAGAGGAGGGAGATGGCTTTATCTAGGGATGTTTTGTTGTTGCATAGGCCTTCGAACCACGGTAAATTGCTTCTCTGTTCGGGAGTGTTTGTAGGCTCGTCGGTGGCTGTCATTTCTCGTAATGGTTTCATTTCTGCGTTGTGTAGCGCCTTATGTATGGGGATGTGGTCTCCTCTGTCTATGAAGTCCCAGGTCTGTGGTGGTGTTCCCCCTCCTATTTTGGGGTTGTGTTGTATTTGGATCAGTGGGCTTGGCGTTGGGGACACTTAGGGAGCTCCCCTAATGTTGTCCCATACCCTCAACGTGTGCGTTACTGTAGAGTCTGGGTCCAGGGCGGGTGGTATTGAGCGTCCCATGTTCCAGATCAACGGGATCAGGGATGGGTGTAGGTGGTCTTTGTCCAGTGTTACCCACTGTTTGTGTGTCGGGTGGGTGTTCTAGTCTAGTATTCTCTGCAGGATGGATGCTTGGTGGTACTTGCGCATGTTGGGGAGTGCCAAACCCCCCCAGGACCTCGGCAGGCACAGTAGGTCGTGTCGAAGGCATGCCTGGTTCCCAGTGACGAGAAAAAGGTCACTGGCAGACACTGAACTTTCCTCATAGATATTCATTGATTCAATTCATCCCTATGAGGATATGCTGATTGGCCAGGGCTGTGTTTGAATCATACTGGCTCTGCCCCTGATCTGCCTCCTTGTCAGTCTCAGCCAATCCTATGGGGAAGCATTGTGATTGGATCAGGCTACCACTTCTGAAGATGTCAGCAGGCAGTGGGCAGGTCTAAAGGAAACAGGCACAAAAAAGCAGCTGCAGACTTGAATACAAGTATGATTTCTTTATTTAGGGAGGCGTGAGGGGGTCAGGGTGGCTAGATGGTGGTTTTAACCCTATAGGGTCAGGAATATATGTTTGTGTTCCTGACCCTATAGTGCTCCTTTAATCTATGCAATTGCAATAACAATGAGATCTCAATAAGAAATTATAGGAAGACAGACAATCTAGTTCAGGAAAGCATGTACAGTGTTTAAAGAGAACACGGGTTTAATTTACATCACAATTAGATTACCCCAGTCAATACAGTGCTATTATACTGTTTGATGAACAAAAGTAATGATTATCAAGCAGGGCCGGACTGGGAAAAAAATTAGGCCCGGGCATTTTTCAATCAGAGCGGCCCCCTAAGAAAGGGGCGGGGCCAGAGAGTGTGTGTTTTGTCATCACTAATGACAACACGCCCCCTTTCAGTGAGCATGTTGGTTCAATGCCCAGAGCCCTGCTGAAGAGCTCTGACATTAGAAAAAGACCCTGAATTTGTTCTGCGCAGCGCAAGCAAATTTAATAACATGCTTGTGCTGTGTTTGCTTTTAAATTGTCTCTGGTGTTTCCACAAGTGGTATACCAGAGGACAAAAGGGCCAGGAAAGTGCATGGTGCATATGTTTGGAGCCTGCTTGTGGGATTGCATGTGTGTAGAGAGTGGTGTGGTATTGTATAAATAGGTCAATTTAATTTGTGTTTGTGGTGTAATATGTGTGGCTAGGGGCTGTAGAGAGTGTGTGTATAGGGGGCATAGTTTTATAGGGGATGCAGCGAGTGTGTGCATACGGGCTGAAGTGTGTGTGTATAGGTGACGTAGTGTGTGTAGGGGTTGCAGAGAGGGTGTGTTTAGAGAATGTTGTATGTGTTTGCTGACAAGGAATGTAGTGTGTGTGTGTGTGTGTAGGAGATCTACTGTGTAAAGGACCCAGTGTGTGTGTGTAGAGGATTAAGAGTGCATATAGGGTAAGGGATCTAATGTGTATCTGGAGCGTGTGTAGTGGTGCAGGGTGAGGGGTGCTGTAGTGTGTGTGTGTGTGTGTGTGTGTGTGTGTGTATGTATGTATGTGTATATATATATATATATATTTTGACTTATTGTATGTGTGAGGGGCGCAGTGTGTGTATGTAAGAGGGGTGCTGTGTGTGAGGGTGTTTTTATCTGCTGTCACATTCTAGGTTTCTAATTTTCTTTGTCTGTTAACTCACTGAGGGTTATTTTATATATATATGTGTGTGCTGTGTGTGAGTGAGGGTACTGTGTGTGTCTGGGTGCTGTGTGTTTGGGGGGCGCTGTGTCTGTCTGGGTGGCGCTGTGTGTGTCTGGGTGCGCTGTGTGTGTCTGGGTGCGCTGTGTGTGTCTGGGTGCTGTGTCTGGGTGCTGTGTGTGTCTGGGGGGTGCTATGTGTGTCTGGGTGCAGTGTGTGTCTGGGGGGTGCTGTCTGGGTGCAGTGTGTGTCTGGGGTGCTGTGTCTGGGTGCAGTGTGTGTCTGGGGGGTGGTGGTGTCTGGGGGGTGCTGTCCAGGGTGCTGTGTGTGTCTGGGGGGTGCTGTGTCTGGGTGCAGTGTGTGTCTGGGGGTGCTGTGTCTCGTCTGGGGGGTTTCTGTGTCTGGGTGCTGTGTGTTTCTGGGGGTGCTGTGTGTGTCTGCGCTGTCTGTCT